GAAGCCATTTTTACCATAAGGGTTACCTAAACCCTAGGCCCAAGAGACTTTTATAAATATATCTCCCATACGATTAAACCTAAGAAAGCCACTCCATATCAAGGCTTATTACCTCACGTAAGCATGATCTTAAGACCACTGTATAAGGCTTCTCGCTGCCGCAGACAAGCTCTAAACCCTGTTATTTGTAATACACCTACTAAGGCCTAGGAGTATCCTTATCATTGCAAGTCACAAAGATGTTGTTCCAACCGTTTTGTTAATTGTTTAGACTTTTCCTAATCGATTGACTTAATGTTCCATTTGATTGGCTAGGTACAAAAAGTTTCCAATCAATTGGCATACGTACCCAATTGATTGATTAATTCAAAAAAGGTTTGAAAAGCGTTTAGACAATTTCTTAATCACCAGACTTGCTATAGAAAATATTTAAGATGAAAATGTTTGAAAAAGATATTTTTGAATGTGTGTGGGAGTATCTTTATTACTTTTAAATTAATTTATGACTTTAACAAAACTACGGTCACTCAAACAGTTACGACGTAACGAGCTTTTGCACTGCATCTCTTTCATTATTCTAAAACTTCCTACTTTTATATTATACTTAAAAATCACTTCCTTACTTTATTCACACCTATTCAGATAAATCTTCCAACTTATAAATTTAAAGGATGACATTTTATTTATATCTCATTTTTATTTTCTAAGTAAAATGTAAATTCAATTATTGGTAATTAGATTTTAAGAAGAATTTTTTTACCTAGATAGAACCATTAGTAGTATTTTTGCATTATTATTTATGTTGAGTGAATTCAAGACATAATGGTTAAGCTATGGGCATACTAGTACTTTCATCCCTAACTCATAAGAGCCCAAGTGAAGATTTGTATATCCTTTCAAGATTTCATGTGAAGCTAGGATCTCAAGACTTTGCAAGAAGGAGATGAGGAGCATGCATCAATTTCCATTCTTCTTCACTCTCAAACCCTTCTTGGATAAATTCAGGGTTCAACCTAGATGGGTCCTCTTTGGGCTTAGAATTCTTTAAGGATTCAAATTAAGAAAATGACATATTAGGAATTGTTGTTAGAAATTTATGTAGAAACCCTTGATCACGTGTTATTTGAAAATGCATGTCATTAGCTCTTAATTTCTATGTTAAGTTGAATGTTTGTTGTTTCACAATGTTGTTATCATGCTTGATAATGTGTGGAGTTAGAAGTGTAATGTATGAAAGGAAAGAGGATTAGGAAATCTCCGGTTTGCATGAACACTTGAGGAAGAGGATGAGCTTCTTTCTTGGGCATAATATTCCCGTAACACCTAATTATGGGTAGGCCCTAAATGCCACTTAAAAAATGCACCAAGAGAGGGCTGGGCATATTACGGCTGTAAGCCCACATTAGGGACAGGTGGTAATGGACCCTATTTTCCTCACCCCTTATTTGATGTTCATAATTCTTGCATTTCGATTCTGTATACGAGGTAGTACAAGACTATGAACTAGTTATAGTCAATGAAAGAATGTATAGATTACAGAATGATGTTATTATTAGGGAAAACCAAAGCGGGGTAATGACTGTTAGAACATAGTTTGATTCTACAACCCTTGGTTAGAGTTTTGATGATAACAAATACAAAGAATAAATTATAAAATACAAAGAACAAATATGCACCTTAAAAATTATGTTTTATGTATGCAGAAGTTTTGATCATATCAGCATCAGAAGATAAGCCATAAGTGCTACACGCTGAAGCAATCAGAACATACGCTGAAGATTGATGACCAGAACCTGCGCTTAATCAAAGTAAATTCTAATTCTGAACAAGAACATATCAATCCAAGTCATCAATATTATGAAGCGTCATCAGCAGTAAGGAGATAAGATTCTGAAGCGTTACTGCTCATTCAAGACAACATTAATTTCAACGGCTTCTTTCAGACAGGATCTTATCCAAAAGGAAAGTGTGTTAATGACATTAAATATGTTTTATGATCAACTTCATTCCACTACCTATATAAACAAAGTCAGCTTTCAAAATCAAACAACGATTTTGCTAAATAACCACTCACGCATATTCAAAGCTGCAAGCAATTTCATTTTACTTTTCTAAGCTATAAACTTGTGTAATTTATCACAGTTGTGATAAACAGTTTTTTGTTAGAAAAATAACAACACATATTGTATAATTATATTAATAAAAGTGTTCCTTGAGATTAACCGGACTGTGGTTGTACTCAAGAATACTTTAAAAGTTGTTAAAGTAGCTGTTGTAATCTTGTTGAGATTAGTGGATTAAGACCTCGTTGGAGAGAGGCGAAATCACCTTTACGGGTGGACTGGAGTAGTTTGTGATCAAACGAACCAGGATAAAAATTACAGTGTCATTAAGCGAATTAAGATTCAAGTTCTCAATTCAACCCCCCCTTATTGTGTTTTTCACATCTTCAATTGGCATCAGAGCGCCTGGTTCTGAGCTTAAACACTTAACCGTATCAGTACAAGATCCAAGCATCAGAAAAACACTATGGTGGGACCAAGCCAAAACATCAACAATGACAACCATAAAGACAAGGAGAGATTCAGTGGCAAACCTTCAGTCTTTGATGGAGAAAACTTTGACTACTGGAAAGACATAATTGAGAGTTTCTTTCTGGCCCATGATGCTGATCTGTGGGACATGGTGAATGATGGATACACGCATCCTATGGATGGAAGTGGTCAGAAGATAGACAGGAAAATGATGTATGATCAGCAAAAGCGTGAATTCAGAAACCACCACAAGGCCAGAACAATTCTCCTCAGCACCATCTCATATTCAGAATATGAGAAAATATCAAACAGAGAAACTGCCAAGAATATGTTTGACTCTCTGAGAATGACGCATGAAGGCAACATTCAAGTCAAAGAAACCAAGGCCCTTGCGCTCATTCAGAAGTATGAGGCATTCAAGATGGAAGATAGTGAATCAATAGAAACTATGTTTTCAAGATTTCAAATTCTTGTTGCTGGACTAAAGGTTCCTGACAAAAGGTATTCTACTGCTGATCACATTAAGAAGATCATCAGAAGCTTGCCCAAACAATGGAGGCCAATGGTCATAGCACTTAAGCTAGCCAAAGGTCTCAACAAAATTTCTCTGGAGGAACTTGTCAGCTCCCTCAGAAGTCACGAGATAGAGCTAGAAGAAGATGAGCCTCAAAAGCAAGGTAAGCCATTAGCTTTAAAATCTAATAGAAAACCTGACTCCAAGGTTTTTCAGGCTGTGGAAGAAACTTCTGATGGATCCTCATTAGAAGAAGATGAACTATCTCTCCTCTCCAAAAGGGTGAACCAACTATGGAAGCAGAGACAAAGGAAGTTCAGAAATCCCAAAAGATCAGAGAATCAGAATGAATCCTCCTCCAGATACAGAAAGTCTAAGTCCTCCTCTAGACACAGAAGATCTGAAGGTTCTTCAGGATACAGAAAGCCAAACAACAAAGACATCATCTGCTATGAATGTAATGAGCAAGGGCACTGCAAAAGTGACTGCCCAAAGCTTCATAAGGAAAAACCCAAAAAGAAGTTTCTCAAGGAAAAGAAGAAAAGCCTCATGGCTACATGGGATGATTCTGACACTTCTGAAGCTGACTCAGAATCAGATGATGAAAGAGCAAACATAGCTCTCATGGCAAACGTATCAGAAGACAGTGAAGCTTCTGGTTTAGACTCAGAATCAGACACTGAAGAGGTATTCCCTGACTTTACCATAAACTTTACTAAGGCTGAACTTGCTGAAACTCTAAATTAAATTCTGGAAAGGTATCAGCAAATCAGAGTCAAATTCAGGAACCTGAAAAGGAATCTTGCCTCTGACTCTGAAAAGACTGGGAGTCTCAGATTGGAGAATTCTGAGTTAAGATAAAAAATTTCAAAACTAGAAAATGATTTGCAAAACTCTCAGAAGGAAACAATCTCTGAAACTCCCAGTAATGCTGATGAGATCATCAAAGAGTATGATCACAACTTTCAGAAGTTTCTAGCTAAAACCATAGACAGAAGCAAGATGGCTTCAATGATCTATGGAGTTATCAGAAATGGCAGAAAAGGGATAGGATATCAAGGTAAGGTATCTACACCAAAAAATGCCATGGACTTAGTTATAAAATGCACACCACTCAATTCACATTTTATATATGGGCACACACATGACATAAAATACACAAGTAGTGATTATTCTGTCAAACCAAAATTCAATCAAAATTTTGGTAAAACTAACAAATCAGGACCCAAGAAAACGTGGGTACCTAAGGTTTAAATCATACATGTGGCAGATATCTTTAGCAGCAAGGCTAAGACACCAATCATGGTACCTGGACTCTGGCTGCTCGCGACACATGACGGGAAGAAGGCATATGTTCCAAAGCCTGGAACTTAAGCCTGGAGGCTACATGGGCTTCAGAGGAAATCAGAGAGGAAAAATCATTGGCTCTGGAACAATAG